CAGGCTCCTCTCCCCAGCCACCCCCCATCCCCCACCTCCCCACCCCCGTCACTGGCTTTAGGCTCCCTCCTAACAGTACACACAGAGACCTCCAGCTCGGCACCATCCTAATGGTTTTTCTTAAAAGGATTATTTATTCAATTGTATTTATTCATTCATTTTAATTTGACCAGGGAGAGACGGAGAGAGATAAGAGGGAAAGTGGGAAAGCAAGCCACCAAATCTGGGATTCGAACCACTGTTGGCCATCTGGGAGTGTCTAGTGCCTTAACCACCATGCCACCAGCTGGTCCTCCTTCCTAATGTGTTTTGTTTTGTTTTGTTTTGCCTTGCCTGCTGGTCCTCCATCCTAATGTTTTCTTGTTTCTGTTTTGTTTTATTTTGTTTTTGCCTTGGGGTGTGAGCAAGATAGACAGACACAGTGAGAGGGAAAGTGAGAAATCGCCCCACACGGGATGGCCACGCTGTAATCCCTTTTCCTGGTATCTTGGGAATACACACACACACACACACACACACATACATACACACACAGCATGATTTTTCCAGTCACTGGGTCTGGGACTTGAACCATGGTCGGCCATGTGGGAGTCCAGCAATGTAACCACTACGCCATCTGCTGGACCCCCATTGTAACATTTTACCTATGTCAGTTCATTTACTCCTCACCTATTATCATCATCTCCATGGTTTATTTGTTCATTATTATTTTTTAACTTGCTATAGAATGTGTGTGCTCACCAGAGCGAGACAGAGAGGAAACAAGGCGCCAGGTCCAGGACGGGAGCCTCGGTGGGCCATATGGGAATCCAGCACCTTCCCCGCTGCACCACCTACTGGCCCCATCCACTGTTTCGTTTGTGTGTTGTGTAACTATCCAGAACCTAAAGCAGGAGTGGTGATTTGACTAAGATTTCAAGACTAGAACACACGGAGGGAGAAGTGGAGCATGCGCTCCGAGTTGGGGTGGGGTGCTTTGTAACCACACGCAGCTGTAAGAGGGAGCCTCCAGCGTACGAGACTTGCGTTTTGAGAACTAGAGGGGGATGGTTGCCCATCGAGAAATTAATGCCAGCGAATCGAACACTTAAAAATGGTTAAAATGGGGGCAGCCAGGTTGCATGGTGGTTAAGGTGGATGGATCCCATGTGACCGACATTGCAGTTTGAGTCCCAGGCTCCAAAATCTCGTGGGGCGTGTGCACGTACATGCTCAAAATCCCAAGAGGAGGATGGAGGAGAAGGGACTGATGCCTGGTCATCCCCCCTCAGAGGGTGCTTTCTCGCTTTCCCTCTCTGGAGAACATGTGTGGCCTATAGCAAAAAAATTTAAAATGGTTAAAATGGCAAAATGTATATTGTACATATTTTAGTATAATTTGAAAAGGACTTTTGGAGCCAGCAGGTGGTGGAGTGGCTGGGGCACGGGCTCTCACACCGGCGGGCCCCTGACCT